AGTGTTCTTTACGTACTCAAATTAGAACTTATAGGAAACCGACAAGTTCTTCGTGGGATCGACCCCGTACTTACATAATCTATACTTCATTAGATTCGTGCACTTGCGGGTATTTTTAATTGGTTGTTTGCACATTAATTTGTGTCCTTTTAGGAATGCAACAACAATTCCTTTAGAAGACTTCAATAAGTAGCTTAATTATCAATCCATGCTTAATTTGCACAGATTAACGCAAATGCAAGCCAAAACCAGTTATGGAATCACATTTTCCATCTCCTCTACAACAAAATGCACTACGGTTACCAAGAAGCATCATTTTTTTAGACACTTTTCAATCATTTTTTCTGAGTCACTTTCCATGAGAACAGCATCACGTTCATAACTTTAATTAATTTCATCAAACACCCATCTCCCTTGCATTGTCAAGTTTCCGGAAAGCCATTCAGTAAAACCTAATTTTCGAAAACAACATGCATCGACACATCCATATCAGAAAAACAAAAATCCAAATCTTTAAGCACCAACCGAACCAAGTACTGCACCAGCAAAATGGTCGGGGACACGTGGCAGGAGAAAGGTGAAAGGTGATGATGACGGGTGAGCAGAAGAAGGCCCAAAGTGGTAGATGGGTTTGGTTTGGCGTACTGGGTTAGGCCTGTAATAATGAGGATGGTGTGGGTGCATCTCTGGACTCTTTCATTGTTCAAAACTTGTATTGAGCTTGGGAGTTTGAAAATCCGTTTATTATAACGGTAAAGTGAGCTCCGAGATGGCGGGAAGTGTCAATAACACCATTTTTTTCTGTTCAAAATTATATTATGATCACTCATTTTCTTCCTAACTTTTCTTTTTCCTGATGAAGTTAATTTTTTAGTAAAAGTACTTTTAACTCATGATTTACCTGACATACAAAATCAGAACACGAACAATTTGACATTTGGATGGTAGACGTGTCACGTATCACTAATCTATTCCCAAAATTAAGGATATTATTCCGCAATTTTTTAAGCAGCTAATTTGATATATTCACATATAAAATTGAAGTGTCCCATATCTATAAGACCCCAAGGAGTTGGTGCATGATAGGTCATCGAATTCTAGGCTTGAAGCCCAAGCTATAACTTATTTGTATTTAAAACCAAGTTTGTGCATAAATAATTGATTTATAGGACATGGTCCAGCTCCAACACAACTTGATTGGACAAATTAAATTCGCCAATATGTATCTTTATATTATGTCATTACAAATACAGCTAAGATGCATATATATCTTATTATCATTTCTTGGCCCCACCCCTCCCTCACATTAAAATTCTCTCACGACCTAATCACCTTACTTAGATGCGGAATCTGGTTCTCTATCTCCATCTCTCTCTATCCTTGATTCACAAACTTCACTTTGCCATTCTACTTTTCTTTTTCTAATGAATCTTATCTTAATACCAATCACCAAGGATGATCCTCTTTAATTATGCTAAATTCCCAATCATTAGAATTAAAGCGATTAAGATTTAGATACCGCCAACCATTTTATGCTCAATTTACGCACTAACGACCATTAGTTGTTGATGTATGGTATGTGAGACCTATTTTAGAATCAACTTACATCAACAGTTGACACGGCCGTAACAGAACAAGCTTGCTCGTAACCATTATTAAGTGCCACCTCATTAGGGTCATAATTTTTTCCTCTTTTGGCCAGTTGAAGGAGTCTTAATTTGACCATGAACAATATACATGCATAATATACGTATTTACATAACTATAAAGAAAGAGAGTAATGAGAAAGAAATAAGGAGAATGAGCCAGGTTAGCAGGTTGGCAATCAAATGGAAAAGAAAGGAAGACAAGGCTCTCTCTCTCTCTCTCTCTCTCTCAGTCTAAGCTGTAAATGACAGACTGGCATGAGCGAGGTCAAGCAGAAAGAGGTGGGGAGAGAGAGACTAACTCTCTTTCTCT